CACTCACCTGGCACAGGAAGGAAGGCTTACAGTAGCTGAGAGAAGCAGATGAGTCAAATGACCCACTCCGTTTTGCATGTCTGTCCCGTGAATGGCTATTTCTTAAAATTCTCTAATGATTTCCTGGTCTCACAGAATGCATTGAAGATTTTGATTGCGGGTGGGTGGGTGTGGGGAGTGGTGATGGCCAAGCCTGGCAGTTTTCAGAACTCTGTTCAGTGGCATTTGTTTGTTTGTTTTACATCTAATAGGAGCTTCCTGACGGTGAAGTGGCCTGAGCCAAGGAAGGGGGCAAAATCTGGTTGGGGACCCCAGGACCCTGATTTCTCAGAAATGCTGTGTGACCTTGGCTCATCTTTGTCCCTTCCTGGGCTTCAGTTTCCTAGTGGCCATGGTGAACTTGGGACCCTTCCGAACTGGGGAGGTGGAAGAAAGACCTGGATCCCCTGCCGCAGGCAGTTTGGTTTTTCTCTTGACTCAGTTTCCTTATCGTGAAGTGATGGTTGACTCCGTTTCTTCATCATGAAATGATGGTTCTTGGCTGACGCTTCCTGTGTCAACTAGTGTTTGAGTGGAGTGTGGCCTGGGATCTAGATGGTGCAAACATTGAATGTGTTCCGCTGTTGACGGACAGGCTGGAGTTTCTGGTCTACTAGAGCACTCTATTTGCTACTCTACTACAAACCACAAACAAACAAAAACCACACACTTCTGCTCTGGCACACCTGGGCTGCCATGCTTTGGAACAGACGCACCACCATCCAGTTTTAGTGGCAGGGTCAGAGTTGGTCATGCCACCCCCTCAGGCCTGGTTTCTTCTTCCTAGGCTTCTTGGCACCTCTGGCCCAAGCTGGTCTTCCCTTGGGGAGCCTGAAGAAGCCTACCCTGAAAGCAGAAAGTGGGTAGTGCCCAGAAGTGCTGGTCCACAGCCGAGCCTCTCCTGAGCTGCTTGTGTTGGGTCTGTCTCAAGGACAGTCACTGCCTACGACCCGGAAATAAGGCTCCAAAAAGACAGCATGCTGCAAAGCTTGATGAACGGAGCATTATGCAGCCCAGAAAAAGCACTTGGAGTCTCCTCTCCCCCCAGAGGTTCTCCGAACAAGGTGTATCATGAAGGCCCAAAACAAACAAAAAGGAAAAGAAAAAAATCCAATGGTAAAATAGGGTGCTTTCCTATGTGTATGGGGAGAGCAATTATACGGGGTGGGGTGAGGGTCGGGGAGTGGTAAAAACTTCATGGGAAAATGGAATTAAATGATCAGGGACTTTACCCCCCCAAACTTGTCAAAGGCCCCGGGAAGATGTAGTTGGCTGGTCTGTGCCGGCTAGCCCAGCCAGAATTCCTAAGACCGTGGTTGTGGTGACTGTCTCTGAGATCCAGGTCTGAGTGTGTGCTGGAAAGAATTAGGGTCAGCTTATTCCTTTTGTGTCCTTTGAATTATGAGCACTGCACAAGTATTGTGTACTTCAGAAGAGATCCCACCGGGAAAGCCAGTATGAGAAACAGGAGAGAGGCTAATTCAGCATTTCCTGAGCTGTGTGGTGGGGACCCAGGTATCTGCAGTTTCTGAAAATTCACTGAGCCACATGCTTACAACGCATGTGCTCGTCACGGTGCATGCTATGCTTCCATGACAGGTTTGAAATGGTTGCCGGGCAAGGTTGAGTTGGCTCTGACAGAGTAGAAGTGCTCTCTTTACAGGAGCAGCCAGCCTCATATTTTTCCCAAGGAACCACTGGTAGGTTTGAACCTTCCACCTCTTAGTTAGCAGCCCTAAAGTAATCTACTGTGCCACAAAGGCTCCTCATGGCAGCCCTAGGTGTAACGGGATAAACCATTGCCGGGCCCTGCATCCTCCTCTGGAGCCCTGGTGGCGCAGCGGTGGTGCTTTGTGCTGCTGACGACAGGTCGGCAGTTGGAAGCCACCAGCTGCTCCTTGGGAGGAAGGGGAGGCTTTTTACAATCTCAGACAGGCACAGGGGCAGGTCTGTTCTGTCCTGTAGGGCAGTGAGTTGGTTGGGGGTGCCTGCTCAGCACAGTTACATTTCAGCCCGTTGTTGCAGCCACTGTGTCACTCCATCTCGCTGAGGATCTTCCTCTCCTTGCCGACCGGTTACTTGACCAAGCACAGTGTCTTTGTTCCTGAGACTGGCCCCTTCTGAAGTTTTCAATCCTCTCTCACCGTCGTTGGGTCAGTTCTGGCTCATAGCGACCCTCCAGGACAGAGTCAAACTGCCTCTGTGAGACTGTAACTCTTTACAGGAGTAGAAAGTTTCTTCTTTCTCCCTTGGAGTGAACTGTGGCTTCGAACTGTTGACCTTGAAGTCAACCCGCTATGCCACCAGAGCTCCTGATTTCTGGGGGAGGGGACGTGTCTCACAAGAACTCTGCAGAGCTACAGCGCTAACCTGCGGCTGTCTTTGGGGCGGGTCGTATTTCTGCAATGTTTGAATTTTTTCACAATGAAAATATAAGCAGAGAAACCTATGGTTCTAATGCCGCCCCCGACCCCCCACCACAACAAAACAAAGCAAGTCATCAGTAGAAAGCACTTCTGGAAGGATCCACAGGAAACTGCTAACAGTAATTGCCTTGAAAACAGAGCAGGAACAATATACCTTTCATTGCATGCCATTTAGTACCTGAATTATTTATCGGAATGAACTTGAATTATGTATCGGGCGTATCACTGGCCTATGAACAGGTCTTTAGCAAAACGATGCAAAGAATTCGCCTTTGGTCCCAGCAGCACTTGCTGGATGGAAGACTGAAGACAGAGGGAGACCCAGAGGGGTCAAGCAACTTCTCGGGGTCAGCCCAGCTTAACTGGTGGTGTAAGCGGGCCTCCAGCTCAGAGCTCCTGAGTGCCAGCCCTGTGCCCACTCCCAGGCGTTCTGCCACAGGCGGGCCATGGTCCTGTTCCGGTGCTCTGCTGGGGGTGGGGTGGGGGCAGCCTGTACCTGCACCAGCGCAGGCGCTGTGGAGTGCAATGTGCTTTCCTAATCAGATAGCTCCCAAATAGACGACCTCGCTGGGCTGGGATACAGGATAGGCCAGGCCCCAAGGGAAGCAAGGTGGAGGGCGCTTGGAATGCTCTCCCGGGCGGGACTCCTGCCCCTGGGGAGCCCTTCTTCCTCCTGGTCTCATACCAGTGGGGCTGAGCCAACCTGCATGGCCCTTCAGGGGGCTCCTGGACTCTCCCTGGGCCTCTGTTGTTGTGTGGGAGGCAGGTTGGGTGGGCCCTGTTCCACCCCTCTGTGTCTGGCATGGTGCCTGGCTCCCAGCAAGTGCTTGGTCATCTGCTGATCTGCAGAATGCACAGCTCTGCTTCAGGAACAGTCCTTGGAGGGTTGAATGCGGCGAGCTGGCAGAGCCGAGGGGGCCCAACTGTGGAGGTGGCCTGACACTTCAGTTAGTAAACAGGTGTTTGGTGCATTTTCAAGCAGGTACATGAACACAGCTGAGCAGAGGCCTGGCCGCTCCGGGGGCTTCCCATGCCTTCCCTCCCTCCAGCCTTCTGAGCTCCTTGGGCTATGGCTTCCTAGGGACAGAGCCCAGCCAGAAAGGGCCAAAGAGGGCTCCACCCCTGGGCTGCCCCATCCCGTTTGGTGCAATCTGTCAACTGGCAGGAACACTGACCACCCCCACCTCCCAGGGCAGTTGGGAGAGAAACTAGGGCTGGGCCCCATTTGGGCAGCTCCAGAGCAGAGGGAGGGAGCCCAGGTGGTGCAGTGGGTGAAGCAACAGAGGGGCTGCTACCCTCCCCCCCTCCCAAAGGTCAGTAGTTCTAACCCACTAGTTGCTCCTTGGGGAGAAGATGAGGCGATTTGCTGCCACGGAGATTCGCAGCCTTCCAAATGGCAGGGGGCATTTCTGCTCTGTCCAACAGGTGGCTCCACGTGGTAATCGACTCCATTGACAGTGAGAGGGGGCCAAGGATGGAGTCCCCTTTAGGCTTTCAAGGTAGATGGGCTTCCAATCCACCAATAGTGATCCCCCAAGTCCCCTGAAACAGGCTTAAGAGTGTCACCCCATAGGCTGGCCACAAGGGCACATTGAGGGGGTGCCTAAGAGGAATGCCTGGCCCCATGGGCGAGCAGCCAACCCCTCACCCAGGGCTCCTATGTGATCAGCAGGCTGCTAAAAACACCCCATTGGGCATTAAACTCATGTGCTCATGTGGAAAGGGGTATGTCTAGGCAGCCTCTACGGAGCTCAGGTGGCAGAGTGGGTTAAGCATTTGACTGCTAACCACAAGATCAGTGGTTCAAACCCACCAGCTGCTCTGCAGGGGAACAAAGAAGCCAGCTAGCAAAGCGTTTACCATTGTGGAAACCTAAAGGGGCAGCTCTACTTTGCCCTGTGGGGCTACTGTGCATTGGCACTGACTGGATGGCAGTGGGTTGACGGCCTCTGTGAGAGCAGAGGACATGATGCTCATTCTAGGGGACAGGCCATGCCTGGTACATGCAGAAAGTGGAATCAGCAGCTATTAACGACAGGAGGGCACCCTTCACGGACTGCTTTGGATAGACCGTCAAGACCATTAAACTAAGGGGTAAACACAAACAAACCAGCAAGGATTAGAAAAGGGTGTACACCGTGTGACCAGCGGGAGAAAAAGAACACCCACGTCCGGCCCCACACTTCCTTATTGTCAGGGTGGCTGCCGCTGCGGCCAAGGAGGGGAAGCTGGTGGCTGGAGGACAGGGAGTGCTCACACTTGATGCCCTTGGACCTTTGGCATTTGACCCACGTGACTGGATGTCATCCTTGTTCAAAAACAACTGAACTTAGGATCCCTTTAGCAACCACAGCAGTTGGGCGAGAGTATTGGTGTGGAGTCCGATGGTCTCTGCCGCAGAGAAGTCCAGCGCCCCCACCCCTGTCCCCACCAGGCGGGCGCAGTGTGGCATCTGTGACGGTGCCTCTTCCTAGGTCCAGGGCCCCCTACACCTGCTAGGTCCCCAGTTCCCTCCCTTCCTCAGTTGGGAATGTCTTTTATTTAAAAATATCTTTTTATTTTAAACCCACCACTTCTCTCTCTTTCTCTCTCACACACGCACACACCCCACATACAGCCATGTACACACAGCCTCCTTCAACAGTCTCTGTTTTCCCTAAAGCTCTGCCTTGTCTCTGATCAGCTGGAGCCCGGCGCCGCCGGGCAGCTCCGCACGGCTCTGCAGGCTTGGATCAGGCTGTCCCAGGGGTCCTGCCCAGAGAGGCAAGAGCCCAGGCCATTGTCCCCTGGTCCCTATGCAAGAGCAGGGTGGGCTCGGCTCCCTGGGGTCTTCTCCCCTATCCAGCCAGTGCTGGCTTCCGGCCTCCTTCTCCGGGGTCTTGCTTGGATGGAACAAATGCTGCCGGGACCCGTGTTCATCTCCGGGGTACTCGAAGGGGGGCCACGCCCCTCCCCTTCAAGCAGCTGCCTCCCATGTCACGACGGCCACTCTGTGCAGGGAGGAAGGGAGAGAGAAAGGTGTTGAGAGGGGCCATCAGGTCCCAGGGAACGCTGGCACTAAGCTTTGTGCTCAGCAAGAGGACACAAATCAACCACAGCCTGGGCACAGAGCAATGTTTCTACAGCAGGGGGCAGAGGAAGGGCTTTCTGGGCTGAGAGGGAAGGGCCGCCGAGATAACATCAGCCAAGGCCGGACAACATCAAGGTGCAGAACTGCCTGATGGCCCTGTGTCCCGAGACTCTCTGAGAAGGGTACACAGGAAACTGCTAACGGGTTTCCTCAGAGGAGGGGCATTCAGTGGCCGAGAGGCAGGGTGGCAGGTCGTAGTGGTGGGGGCAGGGAGAAGGAGCATGATTTTCCTCTTCTATGTTCTTTTATGCCTTTCTCATTTCTGCCCTCAAGTGATGTATTGCCTTTTAAAGTCATTACGACATTCAGTATATTTGCAAGCATCATCCTTTATGTCAAAGAGCAGGAGTCGCCTCGGCCAGACCATACCCCAGGAGGGCTGACTCTTCAAAAGCAGACAGTCATCTCTGGCTTCCTTGACTTCACCCAAGAGCCCTGGTGCTGGCATCGTGGTCACCAGCTGGGCTGCGATCTGCGAGGTCGGCAGTTTGCAGCCACCAGCTGCTCCTTGGGAGAAAGATGAGGCTTTCTATTCGCATATACAGCTGCAGTCTTGGAAACTCACAGGGGCCGTTCTACCCTGTCCTATAGGGCTGCCAGTGAGTTTTTGTCCCCTGTCCACCGCCCCCTTCATGCAGGGTATTTCGTTTGACAGGAAACCTCTCTCTGTTTGTGTCTTCTACAAACGATGTCACTTACTTCTGCGGTCCCCTTAGCACTGACAACCATTCTGGGGGGCATTCTATGGGGACAAAGTCAGTAAAGGAAGCCAGGTCTGGCATCTGTCCCTCTTCTTAGGCTGGAAGCTCACAAGGTGGCAGACCTAAAAAAGGTCTCTTACTCTGGGGCCCTAGCCCCAGCCCAGGGCCTGGCAGGTTTGGGTGACGAGCTAAGGACAACAGCCCCTGAAGCCACAGCCCCTCGCTTGCAGGGGAGCTGTCCCCACCAACCAGATCATATTCCCAGGGATGCCACGTGGGCTTCTTCCTCCCTGTCAAGCCGAGAGGTCACACACACTAGCACATCCCGAGCAGCTGAGCCCAGGGGCCTACAGGCGACCTGCTAGTTGGTCAAGGAGCTGGCTGGGAAACTTGGGTCAGATGGGCGTCTCAACCCCACTGTATTACTTCGTCCTTTCCTGGGAGCCTGGTAGGAAACGATGGGACAAGCCTGTTCTCAGCCCAGTGAGACAGAATGCTGACCATCTGGGAGCTCTGCCCCCTGCCCTTTGGCGCCCGCCCCCTTCACTCAGGGGCCCAGGTTGGGGCAGATCCATCCAGATGTGAGCCCAGCCTCCCCGGAGGCTCTCCCGCTGGGGACGGCATGTTCATTCACAGGCTGGGCTATTTTGAGAGCTGAGGATACTGGTCCCAGCAGAGCCTGGGGCTTGGGCTTCTCAGACAAGCTCTGGCCAAAGGGGGTGAGTGAGGCGGATGGAGGATGGAGGGTGCTGAGATGGGGGTTAGAACACTGGCCTCCCACCTCCACTCCAAGTCTGCAGGTCACCTGGAGACCCAGCTTCCAGGAGAACACTGGGTCCATGCAACTCCCCAGACCTTACTTGCTTCAGTTACGAACCGGGGACAAAATGACTTTCCCTGTTGCCCCAGGGTGTTGGTCAGATGCGGATGCAGTTGTCAAAGTGAGACCAATGTCAAGAGGGCTCCAAAAAGGTCCTAACCAGGCCCCGCTTGTCCTTGGTCCCTTAAGCACTCAGCGCCCAGTGTCTCTGGGAAGCCCGGTGGTTGGGCTCTGGTGTTGGATCCACACAGCTCTGCCCACAGGCAGAAGTTCACCTCACTGAGCCTCCACTCCCCCTCAGTGGAGACAGCATGAGGATCACAAGACAATGCTGCTGACGCCCTCAGCACGGTGCCAGCCACGGTGAGTGCTCCAGGTTCTCGGGCACTAGCATCTACAGTGTCTGGTGACCGTGGCTCCTCGCCCTCCCCATCCTTCTATGCTACCTCCACACTCATAGCTGGTGCACCCAGCAGGGAGGGAGGGCCTTACAAGAGGGTCTGGTTCAGCCTCCACCTCCAGGAGATACACAGGAAATCAGGGCAGAGACAAGAACTCTTTTTCCTAGGTTTACCACAAGGGGCCATAATGAATCCCTACTGAAACAAGAAGATGCTACAGGGAACGGTTTCTAGGGGGTCCCCCAACTCCAGACCAGCCAGAGTGGGAAGGAGGCAGTGAGGGGATAGATAGATAGCCCACTTAGGATCCCCCAAGACAACCAGTCTTTTTCTAGTTGAGTTTTCAAGGGGCCAGCGCTGGCCAGGAGTGTCCCTCGTGGAGCGCTGACCCCCAGGGCAGACTGTGAGGTTGCGCGCCTGGGTTCTGCGGCCAAATTTGGATGGGTTCTTAGTCTCACAGACGGATCCCAGGGGGCAACCAGGAGCAGACAAGATCCTGTGAGCTGAGGCCTGCAGAGAAGCCCCCCAGTCTACTTCCCAGGGGGCAGACATGTCCTCTCCTCTAGGCCCTCCGACAGCCACCTTCCCCACTCCCCACACAGGCAGGTGGGCTTGTGTTTGAATCCTGCCTCCGTCCTTGGACGTGTGCCTGTGGACCGATGACTCTCAGCAGATGGAGAGGACCACAGAGGTTCTTTCCCCAGTATTGAAGACATGAGCAAAAACCGCGGCGAAGCCTGCTTAGCGCAGGGGACCAGAGCTCAGAGGGACTGCGGTGGCTGTCCTTACTGGCCAGGCCCCCCACCCCTGCTGTGCTCCTGCCACCTTCAGCAGCTTTCCTCTCTAGGCCACATTTCTGACTTGGGGCTTGGTGGCTCTGCTTCTAGAACCTCGCGCTGTCTTCTGGTCTACCTCCGGTCCTAAGCAAGCTGGGAGCATGTCGCCCGGAGGTCCTGCTAGCTTTCACCTCCAGTCAGGGGCTTTATCTGGCTTGCATTCCCTTGGGCCCCTTCCTCGGGGGTCACACCACAGAACCCTGATGTAGTCCCGTGAGCTGGAGACGGGGGTGGGGTGGGTAGGGACCAAGGCCTTCAGTCACTTCAGCGAAGTGGTGGGAGGTGGGTCAGGGGATAACAAGACCCCGCTGGCCCTGCATGCCCGAGTGGGGGCTGACTGGGGCCACAGCTGGAAGCAGCAGTGCCCTGAGAGTGGGTGCAAGCCAGAGCCTAAGGAGGCTGGTTTATGGACACGGAGGCCGCCATGGGGGTGACAGGCCAGGATGAGGAGTCTGAGGTCAGGACACAGAGGCCACCTCAGGACACAGACACGTGGAGATGGGACCTCAGGCAGCCTTGAGAACCACAGACTGGGGGTGGTGGTGGTGGGGTCAGAGAGCCTCTTTCCAAGAGCACTTCCCATGCCCCATCACTTTCAGTCTCTGTTCCCCCAGGTTAAGAGGCAGCTGCTGCCATTCCAAGCGGTCACACAGATAGGCTTCATCAGGGGAGGCAGAGGCATGTCAGAAACAGGTAGAGGCTGAGGCTTGCAGGCTCCCTGGGCCCAGCAAGGGGACAACAGCTTTCGGCTGACTTTGGGGTCGGCGCATGGTGCTGCCTAGCTCCAGTCACCCCGAGGGAGCCCCGCTGACCCCCTTTACCCAGGACTCAACTCCTGCTCTGTCCAGCACCCTGGGAGAAACACAGGCTTTCTACTCCCATAGAGGGTGACAGTGTCAGAAACCCTCAGGGACAGTTCTACCCTGTCCTATAGGGTCGCTATGAGTTAGAATGGACTAGATCCCTTTTCTTTCTTCCAGCCCCCTAACAGGGGCCCCCAACACCCAACCCTTTTGGGGCTGCATATCCTCAGGGAACCCCTTTCTGTTCCTGCTCGGCAGCTGGTGAGCTCAAGCCCCTGTTTGGAGCAGGGAGGGACCCTAACCTTTCTGCTTGGTCCTCTACCCTTGGGTTAAGGCTCAGGATGCAGCAGTCAGGGGTAGTTCCTGGGAACAGAGAACCCAGCCAGGCCTGTGCCTGTGCCTGCCTGGCTTCCCAGCTGAGTACAAATGGGGATGGGTGAGTGGAGTGGGGGGAGGATTCCGGCAGAAGATCTACGTGCCTCGCAAGTTTCTCCAGGAAGTAAATGAGAGGGCAAGGGAGGCGCCAAGCACAGAGCCCGATAAAGGATAGCATGTTAGTATTTCCTCAGATTCCCGCTGAACAAGTGTGTGTCTGCGGGGTACGCGAAGCACACGTTCAGCGGAGCCACGTCGCTTAATGAACAGTCTCCATCCTCTCTCAAAACCCGAGATTGGATGGGGTGGGAGGGACCAGCGAGCGCCCAGCTTGCTGCGGCTAGACCAGGCCGGTGACCTGACTCTCCTGTACTTCTCCGGTTTGGAGGGGACGCTAAGATCGGGAGCCCCGGGTGCCGCACTTCCACGAAGTCCACTCAGCCTCCCCTTCACGTCTCGGGGGCACCTGCTCTCTTTTGCCACCCCGCCCCTGGCCCCCTGCCTCCCATTCCCCCGCGCACTGACCCCTTTCCGCTGGTTGCTGAGGCAGAAGGTGCAGATGGAGCGCGGCTGGCGGCTGCCGTCGGCGGGAGAGGGCGGCCGTGCCCTTGGTCCCGCTGGCGGCTCGGAAGCACGGCTGCCCGTCGTCGGCCGCGTCGCCCCACAGCAGCACGTTAGCCAGGTGCGCGATGTAGCTGGACGCCAGGCGCAGCGTCTCGATCTTGGACAGCTTGCGGTCCACCGGCTCGGTGGGGATGAGGGTGCGCAGCGCTGTGAAGGCAGTGTTCACGCTCTGCGTGCGGTCCCGCTCCCGC